GGCATGTGAGGCTTCTTCTTATTTTTCTTTGTCTTTTTCTTCTTCTCCTTCTTCTTCTTCGTCTTCTTCTTCTTCTTCTTCTTCTTCTTCTTCTTCTTCTTCTTCTTTCTTCTTCTTCTTCTTCTTCTTCTTCTTCTTCTTCGTCTTCTTCTTCTTCTTCTTCTTCTTCTTCTTCTTCTTCTTCTTCTTCTTCTTCTTCTTCTTCTTCTTCTTCTTCTTCTTCTTCTTCTTCTTCTTCTTCTTCTTCTTCTTCTTCTTCTTCTTCTTCTTCTTCTTCTTCTTCTTCTTCTTCTTCTTTTTCTTTAGCATTGCGAGCCCTCAAGTTTTATTGCTTCATATATCACCCGCCTCCATTCATCTTTCTGGTTGGCCTTCTTTTTCCAGTAGATGACACCAAGTGTTTGCAGGTCTGCATGGAAATTATCTCTCCATCGTCTTATTGGTCTGCCTCGTGGTCTACGACCATTCATTTCCCTTTTGATTACAGTTTTTACTTCTGTCATCTGACATTCTACCCAATCATTTCAGTCTATTGGTTCTGATGATGCCAGTGATCAAAGGTTATTTAAACAGATTATGAATTTCGTTGTTGCTTCTCACTCTCTACTCCCTGCTGTTTGCATCTTTGATGGGTTCAAAGATTTGTCGTAAGACTGTTTCGAAAACCTGCAATAAGGCTTTATCTCTCTTAGCTGTGTTCCACGTTTTAGAGCCATATAAAACGACTAGTCTTATCGACGTTTGATATATTTTGATCTTGGTGTTGGAGACAGACACTTTAACAATTTTATGGACCAATGGGCATATGCGTGATGTTGTCAACACTTGCTTCCCAGGACTTCACCAGGTCATTTTTTTTTTGGGGGGGGGGGGGGGGGGAGTAGTACGACTCCAAAAGGCCTGAACCCACGACCTCGTATCCGCAGGTGAGCGTAGTTAGTTACTGGTAGCTTAGGTTTATGTAGAATATAAGAAGAAAATGCGTTACATTTGAGAGAAAAAAGAATGGGTAAACATTAAGGTGTCATCGTCTGTGACTTAGGCATTGCGCACTCGCTTTGTAATGCCGGCGTGAAGGGTTTGATCCCAGCTGCGAGCCTTGCGCTCTGCGTTGGTTTCGTTAGTGGTATCGAGAAGCCGACCGTTCGTAAAGCAATAGAAAACTACTAGACGTAATTTTGCACAGAAAAATCGCAATAACCAATGCCAGGGTTGGTTCTGCAACGTTCTGTATAGGATACGCCACACACAAAAAAAGATCAAGGTGGTCCTATAGAAAGCGCTGTTAGTTAATGAATTAACAGAAGTTCATTCATTTTAAGCCATGACTTATGTGGCCAATTCTTTTCTAATCGCCTTTCTTTCATAGATAATCCTAAAATATGTATCCACCGGTGACCGGGTTGCCCACTGGTTCGTAGTCTCCGATAGACGACTTCGTCGCCTCTCGGGACAGTGTTTGGATCTGTCTTGTCTGATCACCTCACTACTACAAGATTCTTTTTCAGAACTCTTGGTAGCGTGCTATGCTAAGCCATTTTATGTGGCGCAGATAACCTGATTACACTTATAACCTAAAGCTCCCCCTGGAGGGATGCTGGCTGAACGTGACGAATGTTTAAAGCAACGGAATTTATTTGGTCCCAATTTGTCGTTTCTAGGGCCCTTGTCATGGGGATAAGGGGAAAAGTGTAACACTTTTGGCGGTTAAACCCAGACCATTGTCTCGGTAGACAAGCATAGCTGGCTAACAATCCAGAATTAAAGATTATCGCCTTCATTTCTCTACTCCTGGAATGCCTCACAGCGTTAGAGTAGAAAAAGATCTCTGGAATGGGCTTTTCTGTCCGCCTCGTATATAGTACTTTTCAGTGTATCCCATATTTCTGCATAGCATCTTCTGTATAATCGACATTCAGCTCAAACACCGCAGTATATGTGTAACATTTATCTCTGTGGACCCTGTCTGTTGTCAGTCTTGTTACATGGCCAAACCATTTGGACTGCTTTCTACCGATAGAGTTCAGTACTAGTTCTGTGCCGACTCTCCTTCTGATATCATCGTTCTAAAGTCAATCTTTCCTAGTTACACCTAGCATAGAAGGTAAAAACTGTATTTCTGTCGTGACTATATATTCTTCCATCGTCTGAAAACAGTGTCTATATTTGACACTGATAACAATGCGTCAACGATTGGTGTGTTTAAAATCATAGAAGCATTTTAAAAACGGGACAACCTAAAATGCAATTGCTTTTGAAATAAGCATAAAAAAAATAATATAACAAACACCATCCACACTGTAAGCGACTAGTTTTATTCTATCATTTTCATTCGTCACACAGTGTCACTTGATGTGATGTAGGGTTTACAGCCAACGACACAGTGTCACTTGATGTGATGTAGGGTTTACAGCCAACGACACAGTGTCACTTGATGTGATGTAGGGTTTACAGCCAACGACACAGTGTCACTTGATGTGATGTAGGGTTTACAGCCAACGACACAGTGTCACTTGATGTGATGTAGGGTTTACAGCCAACGACACAGTGTCACTTGATGTGATGTAGGGTTTACAGCCAACGACACAGTGTCACTTGATGTGATGTAGGGTTTACAGCCAACGACACAGCTGTCACTTGATGTGATGTAGGGTTTACAGCCAACGACACAGTGTCACTTGATGTGATGTAGGGTTTACAGCCAACGACACAGTGTCACTTGATGTGATGTAGGGTTTACAGCCAACGACACAGCTGTAACTTGATGTGATGTAGGGTTTACAGCCAACGACACAGTGTCACTTGATGTGATGTAGGGTTTACAGCCCACGACACAGCTGTCACTTGATGTGATGTAGGGTTTACAGCCAACGAAACAGTGTCACTTGATGTGATGTAGGGTTTACAGCCAACGACACAGTGTCACTTGATGTGATGTAGGGTTTACAGCCAACGACACAGTGTCATTTGATGTGATGTAGGGTTTACAGCCAACGACACAGTGTCACTTGATGTGATGTAGGGTTTACAGCCCACGACACAGTGTCACTTGATGTGATGTAGGGTTTACAGCCCACGACACAGCTGTCACTTGATGTGATGTAGGGTTTACAGCCAACGACACAGTGTCACTTGATGTGATGTAGAGTTTACAGCCAACGACACAGTGTCACTTGATGTGATGTAGGGTTTACAGCCCACGACACAGTGTCACTTGATGTGATGTAGGGTTTACAGCCAACGACACAGTGTCACTTGATGTGATGTAGGGTTTACAGCCAACGACACAGTGTCACTTGATGTGATGTAGGGTTTACAGCCAACGACACAGTGTCACTTGATGTGATGTAGGGTTTACAGCCAACGACACAGTGTCACTTGATGTGATGTAGGGTTTACAGCCAACGACACAGTGTCACTTGATGTGATGTAGGGTTTACAGCCCACGACACAGCTGTCACTTGATGTGATGTAGGGTTTACAGCCAACGACACAGTGTCACTTGATGTGATGTAGGGTTTACAGCCAACGACACAGCTGTCACTTGATGTGATGTAGGGTTTACAGCCAACGACACAGTGTCACTTGATGTGATGTAGGGTTTACAGCCAACGACACAGCTGTCATTTGTAATGCTTATTGGTGAATAGGAGCTTATTCAATCACAATGAAACAGTACAACTTTAATTACATTTCCAATCTCACGACCTGCTTCTCTATTTCTCGTTCTCTCTCTCTCTCTCTCTCTCTTCCTTCCTCTCTCTCTCTCTCCCTCTCTGTGAGTGTGTGTGTGTGTGTGTCTTTCTTTCTCTCTCTCTCTCTTTTTTTTTTTTTTACTTTTTTCCTTTTTTTTAAATTTATTTCTCGTTCTCTCTTTGTTGTTTCTCTCACGCTCATCAATCAATAATAGGAAACCAACGTAAGCAAGTTTGTCGCATGAGAATATATCAAAGCCGTGAGAACAGCTCGAAAACAACTAACCAGGTTTTAAGTGTGCCAAATTCGTGTATTAAAATAGAATTTGCTTTATTTATTTATGGTTATGTACTCTTAAATGTGTTCCTGTTCATCTGCTTTAAATTGAGCAGGACGCGAGAGTTTATTTAATAAGCTCTCTTTTCCAACATTCCATAATCAGAGAAGAGTTCCAGTTCCGGTGATATAAGTAGCAAGTCATATGTCCTCCTTGCCTTTTCTTAGAGTGTTGAGTGTCGGCCAAATCCAGTGATCTTTACCCTCTGCAGCATTCTCTACACACCCTAATTATTCGCACATCCGCACTGTTCATTTACCATCAGATTGTCTTAACCATGTCTAGCTGATCATGCATCAAATTCCTTTCCAGCGCTTTAACAAAAGCCTATATGATTTACTATTTTATTTATCGGCGAATGAAAGTTCAATGTGGTGATGAATGCCTGGCTGTCCAGCTAGTGTATGAGGGAAGTTTCACCACGGCGTGACTTCTGGGACAGACACTATTTGGTGTGCTTGACCCAATCATGAACATTTTGATTATCTAAAAAAACTTTGCTAAGATTCGATGTGCTGTGCTAAATGGGAAAATATTACTCGCTAGCTGTAAACAACAAAAACACGACATGCGAACTGCTTTTCTAAGGACATTCGAAGTAGAAAGAATAGATATTTATTTCATTCAAGGCTAGCTAATTTATGAACAGACAATTTATTTCACAGGCAATGATTAATCCATTTTTTTATATACCGATTTCTCAGCAATCTGTATATAGGAGTTTAGAATGACAAGTGAAAAGCATCAAGTTCTTTGGTAATAATCGGTAACTATACCTTTGTAACATTTGTCAACAACCCTTTTTTGTGTGTGTAAGATTTGTAACCCCTTTTTTTTTGTAACAAATGAAAGTCACATTTTTGTAACATCTGTCAACACAAGTGAATTATTTGTCAAACACATCACATCGACATTACAGCACATGGTACATTTTCATATTATTTTAGCTCAGTGGTTCTCAACCTTC